GGGGGGGGGGGGGGGGAAGAGACTACACAAATATCACCATGCAATGTCACTTCCCCCTCCCAGAGGATCAACCCTGATGACGGATATGCACAATGAACCTGTAACTTCCACCTAATTAATTGTCTGCCATTTGCAAACTCTTAGCATGCTATTTTCCCCCTAGGTATTGCCTCTGGGGATGATACCCCTAAGTGTCATTAATGTCCATTTCTTTCCTAATACACACTGATACCGTCCAGTTCCATAAAGCACAAAATGAATCAATCGCCTTTCAAAGAGAGCCCATTTCCCCTAAGCAAAAGTTGACAGTTGTATGGTCTCTTTCCAGCTTTCACTCAATCAACTGTCCACTTCCATCACTTAAGGCTTCAATATTAAACATATGGACTAATCAGGCTGCAAAATCACCACAAATAAACAAAAACATCTCAACTGCCTAAATCCAGTTACATTGCCAAAGAGGGTAAAACTGATGAAGTCAATTCAATTACCGGTACCTTAGTTTTGACTGATAAATTCCATTCATGGCTATGTGTCTACTCCAGTAAGGAACAGTGGGTTTACCCTAACTTATATCATCAATTACCGATCCCCAGCTTGTACTTTAGAAGTTCACTAAATAATATGCATGCTAATTGGTTTGAAATTGGTTTGTGCAATGTTCTGTACAAATAAATAAAAGTTGGTTTGAAATGACAATTAATTACCTTTAAAATTATACAAGACTATTACCAAGAAGGCTATGTTTAACGATCTGCATATAAATGATGTGAACAAAAATCATTCCCCAGAAAATTAAGACTGCAAATTTTAAAGACACTGCCTCTCTTTGCGGATCACATAAATGCACTCTAAAGCCATCCATGAACTTGTTCACCAGCAAAAGGTGCTGTACTCCAGAAATATACAATTAAGAGAACAAACCAGTGACCCCTCATTCCAAACTGCAAACTGAAACCCTACTTGCATATGAAAATGCATGCAAAAATGCTTGAATGGAGTTGGTTCCAAGAAGAACCTTTTTGAAAGGAATACCTCTGACTTCAAGCACAAAACCTTAGCTCTAGTGTCCCTAGTCCCCTAGTTACCTAGTCTATTCAAGAGTGTAAACTGTATGATAAACCAAGGGCTTTGGACATTCCTTTTTAGCAGACACATAAAGGTCTCCTGGACTCTGTTAGACTAGAGAAAAATGGCGAGAAACCTCTTAGTGAGGCTTAGTGGTGCAACTTCATCAGCATAAATTCTAGCAGTAAATTGCCAGAAGTTAAGAAGTACACATAAAAGCAATCCAACTGTGTCCGTGACAGCAAATGTTGACACTGACTTCTCAACTCATGATCACTTCCCAGTGAAACTGATGTGAATGGGTTTTCATCAGCAGAAATGGGTAAAAGGATTCCAGCCAGTAACTTTCTTCACCGTTACACCCCCAGCAATGGGTATTTCTGTTGTATAGTGGTGCCTTGCTTGACGAGGAAAATCCGTTCCAGCAAAATCGCTGTAGAACGAAATCGTCGTCAAGCAAAAGTAAAAATCCCATTGAAATGCACTGAAAACTGGTTCAATGCGTTCCAATGGGCGAAATACCTCAGCATCAAGCGATGATCCTCCATAGGAAGGCCATTTTCCGGTGCCTGTAATGCGAGGAATCCGTCCTAAACCACAGCGGGGAAGCCATTTTGCACAGCGGGTGGCCATTTTGAAGACCCGATGATCAGCTGTAAAGATCGTCGTTAAGCAAAAAATCAGTTCCCGAAGCAGGGAACCGATCATTGTAAAGCGGTTTTTCTCTAT